ACATAAATGTTACCATTAAAATCAGTGTTTTGAGCTTAGAAGGACACCGTCAAGTGACCACAGCCATTGCAGCTGGTTGGCTGATTTATTTGCTTTGAGACAAAGTCTTGCTCTATATCCCTGGCTGGCACCCAGAAACTCTAGATATTCAAGGCTATATACTATGGACTTACTAATCTTGACCTAAAGGAAAATGTTGGAATTATGTGATCTACTTTGAACACTAAGGACTGCTCCTAGTATAATCTGAAAGCAATGGATTATATCAGAGAGCAATGCACAGGGCCACTGATAAGTATTTATACATATGGGAATTAAGGAAGCTTGTCATGGCTTTGTCATTATTTATGCACTAGCCAGCAGTCAAACAGAGGCAACATGTGGTATAAGTGGGAATCCAAGATCAGACAAACATCAAAGAGAATAGGGAGAGCTTTGTACAGTACCCTTTCATAGTCCCACAGCCTCCACTTCCCCTTACACATATGCAGACACTGGAGTCTAAACCATATTTTGAAAGACTCAATTTTTTTCTGTGACTTAGGTTTCAGTGACCAAATGCCAAAAAGATAAGCACATTTCCTGCTTTTAAAATCACCGGACTCCTGCAACCATAGGAGAACCCTAAGCTGACACTCAGTCATTAGGGCCTTAACCCTGATCTCTATCTGTCTCTGTTCACCTTATCCTTATACCCACAACTAAGCAAGTTCGATAGCCACTGATCTAGGAGAGTCCACTGAAATACAGTCTATTGAGACCCAGTGCTATCTGCCTGTCCTTCTCAGTAGCTCCAGTGTGTTTCCACATTGAAATTTCCTCCCTCTTCCTGCGTCCCTACTATCTCTGTGAAGAAGGACCAGCTTCCATAAAGTGGGTAGATTGCACAATGGCAGCCATCAGGTGGCGCTGCCGATCTGCCGGTTCCAGCCTCTCTCCCCCGAGAATGCAGAGGACACACCGTAGAAGAGTCGAGATCAAGTTTTGCTCCTCTGAGCCTTAAACATAACAGTTTCAAAGCCAGTGTTCCAAGGAAACCCAAGGTAATCCCATAACAGAGGCTGAAATGCATGAGTTATCAGAGATCTACTGAGCACAGGGAGGCTGGGAGTTCACAAAACTAACCACAATCCTGTTATCACTTCAGAGTCTAGAGGATTTAGGCGATTCTTTGTGTCTTAGTAAAGTTAAACCAGTATCTTAAGAGGCTGAAAAAAAAAGAGGAAAATAATAAGTTTGGGAGCATTCGTACACATTAATTGCATGTTTAAACATATTTGCTGGACTTGGTGGAGAACTGTTCCAAATTGGAGGCTTGAGGCTTGTGCATCTCTCTGTGATCCTCCGTGGTGGGTTCCAGGGTCCAGCAGTGTGTGCAGCAGCGTGAGGTTCCACCGCTGGTGAGCAGGCATCCCTCCAATGTGGCATTTCTTAATATGCAAGCTAATGTCAGTCACATTTCCCTCATTTGGAGAAATTTATTAGATGAAAGATTTGCATGATGGAAGTGCCTATAATACTAGCACTTTGGGGGTGGAAGGAGGAGACTCAGGAGTTCAAGTTCAGCACTGGCTACACAGTGAGTTGAGGCTGAGATCTTATCTTAAAAAGCCAAACTAAGCCGGGCGGGCAGGGTGGCGCATGCTTTAATCCCAGCACTTGCGAGGCAGGGAGGCAGAGTCAGGAGGATCTCTGTGAGTTCAAGGCCAGTCTGGTCTACATAGTGAGTTCCAGGACAGCTGGAGCTACAGGGAGACCCTGTCTCAAAAAAACCAAAAAAAAAAAAAAAAAAAAGCCACAAAAAAAAAAAAAAAACTTAAAAAACTAATAAACAAAAAATTTAAATATAAATCAAACCTGAGGCTTTGGAATTTTTTCATAGTGGTCTACATGGCGAGTTCCAGGCCAGCTAGGGCTACAGGGAGAAAAAAAAAAAAAAAAAAAAAAAAAAAAAAAAGCCAAACTAAAGAATAAAAGACTTACAAACTATATAGACAAACATATGTATATATAATAATTAGTTTTTTAAGGTGGTGATATTATATATCTTTAAGTATTTTGTATAGATGGTCTAGGTTATACACCTTTAATGTTATGCATTGAAATTCAAACATACCGTCAGTGGGATGTGAGCTGAGGGTCGATTGCCTGGAGTCCGGGTTCTTTCCAGAGGCAAAGAATTGAACTCCTAGGTAGGAATGAAGTGAAGGCAGGTTTTATTGGGATACAGTGTAAAGAGCAAGAGCTAAAGCCCCCCTGTTGGGTGGGGTCTCCAGAGCTGGTAGAGCACAGGTGGCCTCTGGGCTGGTTCTTTCACAGTGTCCATAGGTCTCTCCTTTGTTTCCTTCTTCCCACACTTCGTCTTTTGACCCACATGGTCCTGACAAGAGGATAGTGGAAAGAAACCCTTGCCTGCCTGATGGCCTTTTCAGACTGGTAGTCTTAACTTTTTGGTATATGGCCTTATTTTGACACGTTCCCAGAATTCAGTGGGAATGTTCTCTTTACCCTCCTACTGACCTTTGCCCTAACTGCCTATCCTTAGCTAATTCCTAACAATACCAACACACAAATTATTATGTAACTATATGGATATACAGCATATAAATTACTTTATAATATCCAATTTGGATATTATAGTATATAACCCTATCTGTGATGATTAATTAATTATGCCTATTATGAGCATTTCATTCTTTGGTTATTTATACTTCTTTTAAATAAAATTGCTCAAATATTTTACATTAAAGTGGGAGTCATACAATTTATATATTTTAGGTAAACATACAGAGGTATTTTTGATAATTAAGAACAAAGAAATTCCCACGAAACCACAGATCAAAACCCTTGTGAGTAGAGCTGCCTTCCTACGCCCCTTACAACTCGTGTCTCATGGGGTCAGGACCACCACAGCCCCGAGTGGCTCACACAGCTTTGTACTTGCCTGTTCCCTCTGAAGATCGGAAAGCCCAGCCCCGGGTGCCACAGGGGCTGCTCCCCTCTCTGGGGCCCGTTCTTTCACACAGCTACTGGGCTCTCCATTGCTGTGGTAAAACACTAACAAAACCAACTCGGAGAGTAAAGAGTTTATTTTATCTCACAACTCTTGAGTTACAATCCATCACTGAGGAAAGCCAGGGCCCGAAGCCCAGGGCAGGAACCTGGAGGTGGGGACTGACGTGACGTACAGACCACAGAGGAACTCTGCTGGCCCACTTGCTCCTCTGGCCCGTGCTCAGCCTGCTTTTTTGTACAGTCCGAGACCATTTCCTCAGGAGTGAGACCACCCACAGAGTTGGGCACTTCCATATCACTCAACAGTGGAAAAAGATGCCTCACAGACACGCCCACAGGCCAGTCCAATAGAAGAAATTCCCAAATCGAAGTTCCCTTTCCCTGGATGTGTCACATTGACAAATGAAACTAACCAGCACGGTTGCTCAGAAAACTGTTTTGGTCCACATCATGACGTTCACACATAAGTTACATACCTTGTGAAGAGGCCCAGTAAGGAAGAACAAACAGGTCAGGGCAACAATGGCACTCAACCTTTAAGTCTTTGATCAACTTGTTTCTGTAGCCTTTATTCTTTCTAACACTTTCCAAGCATGAGAGTAAAAATGCTGATTCAGCTTCATGTGCTTTCTGAAATTTAAATTCGAGTCTAAAGTAAACAACACGCACACTCACACCCACGCGCGCTCACACAGACGCACAAAGAACTTTTCTTCTTACTTACATCATTCTGGTTCGAACTGAGACAATCAGTCTCCCAGAAACGTGGAAAAGGAAATAAAAGATGCAGTGTCTGCGCATCTGTGTGTCTGAGAGATATCTTCACTGTGTTTATTGCAGCCCTGTTCTCCACAGCCAAGACACAGGATCTATGCAAGTGTTCTGCACAGGCTCACTAGAATGCTATTTAAAGGGCATGGTGGATAAATATCAAAAGCTCAGCAGGCAGATGGCTGATGGAAAGAGAGGACAGAAGGGAAGGAAAAAGGGTCATAGCCTGCCCTACAAGGATGCAGGACTAGTCCTTCAGAGACTAGCATTTTAGCCTTGGGTGTGCCCTTTTGGAAGAGAAGAGGAAGGTGAGCTCTGGCAAGATGTAATCCCAAGATTTACGTGTTATGGTGGGCAGCACTAGACACAGCAGCACGGAGAGCTCTGACTCCCACACAGGCTTTGAGGGCATAAGCCGGTGCTACTGTTACTGTCTTCTCCTTAGACCAGGCTTTTCTGCCACCACTTCCCTAAGTGCCTGATGTTTCAAGAATTAGAACCTTGGAATCCTGCACCATCCAATAAAACTCCAGTTTCCTTAGAACAATGCCCTCTGTGTCTTCATTTCCCCAGACTCTCCCGTGAGGTTCCATTTTACAGGTAGGTTCAGACTCTCCACAGCCTAACATAATTCAAGAAAGTATATGGCATAGTTGAAGAATTGAGCATTCAGATTTTGTGGTTTTGGAAGTCAGTTTTTATCACACCCACTTCACTAGATGTGGGTTGATAGTTCTGATCATTAAATACTTTGATGGGAGTTCCTGATTGGCTTCCTGTCTCTTATATACGTGCTGACAGCCCTTTCTAATGTCACTTGAAGTTATGTCTGTGGAGCTGATACAAACCCACTACTTCACAGGCTTATTCAGTCAAGCTCCAACACTTAGAAAGAGGATGGTGTTTTCTTAGGGGGAAGTTAGGTCATCGTGACTGCGGAAATCCAAAGATAATTGTGTTTTTTTTTTCTGCTTCCCAAATTGGAAATTTCTTTGAGACTGAGTCTCACCTAAATGAGGCAGAGCTGGGAGATAAGTGATAGGTAGAGGAATTGGCAGCATCATTGACCATTCTTATCTCTCAGGGTCTGAAGATTGTACTCATCCTTAAGATTCCTGCTAACTGGAACCAGAATTTTGTTTACATTCTGGGACTTGATTCCCAGGGTCCTGCTAGAACTCAACAAACAACTGCAGGCACAGAGAACTTTCTGCAAGGATTTTATTTAGTTGTAGTGGGGGGGGGGCGGCGAGAAACTCAAGGACACAGCACAGGAGAAACAGCAACGTCCTTCTAGCTCTCAACTCGTATCACAAACACTTCTTCATGTTCTCCGTGCTCAGCGGCAGCAGAGTCGGTAGATAACGCCACGGTACCTGCATGCTCCATAGATGCGTTCTAGGAAACCACAGCTCGTTCTTCTGCAATAGCAGACCAAGCCTGATCGTACGTCTGGGGATAAAGAGGGCACATTAGGCATGAGGTGTCTGGGTCAGCGGAGCGGCATAGAATCCTGAGAACAGTGCATCTCTAGCCCTTCCTGCTTCCTCACTTCTCTATCACGCTAGCATTTCTCACCTGCATCTTGAAGAGCAGAGGCTTCATCCCCTCCGAAGGATACGGCCATATCCTGGTCGTCTTCTCCCAGCTCCTGATTTAGAGCCTTCTCAGTTCTTCCTTGGGGAGCCTTAGCCTGGATCTGGAGAGCCAGGAGGAGAAGGGCAGCAAACAGGATGAATGTCCTCATGTCTAGGAGTGACCTAGAGGGTGCAAGAACAGAAGAAAAGCGGGTCTATGAGAAGGCTGCGACAGGCCCTGCGGCTGGAGGTGTACATGGATGGATGGTGACCGGGACCATTGTCCTAAGCATTGCTCTCAATGTTCCTGTTCCTACGGCTTTTATCATAATGTGCTTGAACCCTGCTATCTTTTACTGTTTAGCGCTTGAATTTTGTGTTTACCTCTTGAATGAATGCTTTATGTTAAAAAAACAGTATTGTCATGCATTAAATTCAAGAAGAGATGCCTCTAAATTTCTGAAGATGGATCCTGATGCTTTTTTGAATTGTTGACTTTGGGTTCAGATCTGAACTCTAATGACATAGAGAGTTAACACTTGACAAGTTTCTGTTTACAGCATGAGTGAAAACCACAGTGATCTTATTGGATCAAATGAGCTCATGTAACTCTAGGTAGTTAAGCCAAAAATAATGTTTACTTTTCCCCTCTGTCTGAGCATAATGACAATTAGGATTGTATGTGTCAAAGCACACAACTTGATGACTGGATCTTTATCTCAAATTGGATGAATCAGAGGCTGAAACCATAGACGAACTGGAAGAAACTGTAGACCTTGATCTGCACAGCAGTGTCCCACAGAACACCAAAGGCACAGGTTAACAAAGCAAAGGTGGGTGAGTGGGATTCAACTAGACAGTAAAACCTCTGTACATCAGAGGAAGGAAGCAGGAGAAGAAGGTGGCAAACTCGGACACAGCAGGAAAGCTCGACAAAGCATTCATCAAACAAGGGGTTACTGCCCAAACTACACAGGCAGTGAGTGTTCAACAGACAAAACCAAGTAACACAACTAGCAAAAAAGCAACAGACCCAATGAGATATTTCCTAAAATAGAGAAATACAGAAAGAATTCTTTTAGAATATACCATTGCCCCATCTTTATGACAAGGAGACTGTCTGTTTTGAATAAAGCCTTTCAAATTTCTCCTTAATAACGAGATCGTTTGTCCTCAGCAGCCACCATAATCCCAGACAGATGAGCCCTAGCAGAAATCTGCGTATATGGGCTCCTCCAGAGCAGATTTCCCATTAGGGGTCAGTTGCTCCTGGGCTTCAATGACACAAAAGTTCTGTGAAAGTTCAAGAGGCTTCCATTACCTACAGATCCTTGGACTGTGCTGGGTGATCAGAGCAGAGAAGGCAGCAGTCCTCTGTCCAGATCTCAGGATGCCACAGCAGCTTTACACTTACAGGCAGTCTTCCCTATTTAAGGGTTGTTTGCGGTGTCCCAATTTCTTGGGGTTAATTTCTATTGGATACTTTACTACCTGTGGTGCAAGGGCAGTTGGCCAATTTGCCCAAGCTAGAGCAAAGCAGGGCTTCCTAGAGAGACTTCTTAACCTTTATTGTCCAGTGCTGACCAGGCCTAGGCAGCAGCCAATTGCTATTTTCCTATCACTCATAGAGTGGACCCTGTGCTACTCAGGCCTGTGGCTGAGGCTCAGTCACCTGGAAGCCAGGGAATCTGAAAAAATATACTGGAAAGATGTGGCTTAAAAATCATGATTCCCAGATAGTGACCCAGCAAAGAACTGGGAAAATGAACAGCAGACCCCAATCTTATATAAAGGAATATTGACAACCGATTGCTGATAGATGAGGAACAGCTGATCTTCCTAAAACAAAGACCTCTAGATAGGCCAACTAGATTCACCAGATGGACAAGTAGTGAGGAATGGCTGGGGGTGCCGACAACCCAGCAGACAGTAGCAGGGATAACAGAGTATAAGGGCTCTAGTCGGGGGAGGGAGGCTATGGGAGAGTGCTGTCTGGTAAGTGGGTGTATAGTTAAATAAGATGGTTTGGGATGTTCTGTGTGATATACCCACAAAAAAATCAGCAAATTTTAAAAAATGAATTATATTTGAGGAGGAAGCATAAAAATTTACGTCATGTTAATTAATTGAGGTGATAAACATCACCACTGAAATCTACCTGATGACTTTATAGACATACACAGGTGCCAAGGATCCAAGTGCAACCAGTTATGACTAGTACTAATCAGATACATACAGATTAGAAACGCATATGCCAACATCTCAGTGTTAGTAGCAAAAACAATGAGTCTTTCTGTAAGAAACAGTATATTTTAAAATGAAATGGAGATCTTTTTTAAAGGTTAAAAACTCATTCAATTTTATGTCATACAGGGCTTGTACTGAGTTCAATATTGTATAACTGTATTAGTTCAATAGTGAACCTAAAAATTTTATAGCCACTTTTGAAAGAGATGTATCTTTACTCTGGAAACCGTTATTGAGTATGTTAAAGCTGTAATGAAACGCTTCTTCTAAAAAATTTTTTTAAAAAATCATGATTTATACACCGTGAAGGTGGCTAGAATAAGTACAGGAGCACACCATGCACAATTTGAAATTCAGTTCTCAGCCTCCCTAGAAACCTAGGGTTGACGCGTTAGAACTGGTCAAGCCATCAGCAGAGTAGGAATGCTGTGCTCGGCTGACATTGCACCTTGCTTCTGCTGTGCAGGTATGAAAGGAGTCTCCTGTGTGACTGATGTGCATGTAGCATGCCATGCTCTGGAGTGAGCAGATGCATACTTACTGGCCCCTGGATAAGCCTGGGCCAAATAGTTATCTGAAGCTATGTAGGCAAAACACTCATGAGATTGTTACATGAGACCTACTGGCTCCTGGATGGCCCATCAGCTATACAGATGACAGAGAGGTTACCATTATCCTGTATCACCAGATGACGTGTGCTCAGAGACATTATACCTAAACCAATACCACCCATGTATAAGGGTCTCCCCAGACCCAGCATGACCAGTGACCAGGATGAACAGTGCATGCTGGGATGCACAGGGCTTTATGTGATGTGGTCCCTCCTGGGTTATATGGAGGCGAAATCCTAGGGAGACCAGTCTACATTAAAAATAAAATCCTTCTTCATCCTCTTTCTCTGCATATTGGTTATGTAATTTAAACTAGATTTGGGAAAAAGAAAAATGAATATAGCCATTCCAGACACAATGAGTATCCATGGTAAGGTTATTGTACCCAAATACTAGGTGACTGGTCAGCACAGCAGTGAGGATTGTTGTGACATCTGTTATTCTTGAGGGAATAAGACCAAGTATCCTGAGACCACCACTGAACACTTTTCTTAAAGTAGAGCTATCGAACTGTGAAGGACTGATGGAAACTGAGTTAGAGATTAATCCTCTGCTCTATGTTAAGGAGGACGAGGGGCCCCTAGTTTGGTATCAGGACGGTGCTGCTGTGCTACATCAGCAAGTTGGCTCTCAGCTTAGGGGGCTGTGATCAGTGTTTGCCTTAGTGCTTGTCATGTGGAAATCAGGCAAAGGTCTCAATATAGTGAAAGGGCAAAATTGAGAAAACTGGGCCTCGGGTGATAGTTTAGGGGGGTCTTGGATTTAGTGATTGCCTATAAGGATCCAATGGACGTGAAAAGCAAAAGAGAGAATTAGAGTGGGTGCAAAAGACACTGTGGTTGTGACAACTCTGGTGGCCAACAAAAGTTAGAAGGGAAGTCTCTTTGCACACAGAGCACACTCTGATCCCTAGACAGTTCCCCACTGGGGCAGGAGAGAGTGGCTTTGTTAGGAAACCTAGTTATATCTGGATGTTGTAATACTCAGGTCTCCCAAGACCACATTATTTTTTCATAACTTGTGGGGAAGCTATACAACCTGACCTGGGCCTGGAGGATTTTCTTGCAGCAGAATGTCTTAAGACTTCACTAAGGCAAACACTGGTAACAGTAAAACAATTCTGTGGGGTCATCCTAACAAAGTGAAGGAAGCAGGATTACAAGGTCAGGGACCCTGGACGTAAGCAGGTCTTATATCCAGTGGACACATGTCCCCCGCTACAGGAATGGTTACATGGCTGGTGATTTCATGGCCCAAATGAGATTCTTTGTCTCTGATTTCAGTGAGGCTTCTCTTTTCCTCAGTGATATCTTGGCCTCAGGTGCTGTGCTCTGAAGAAGCATCATCTCCACCAACATCACATGGATTGTGAGGGTGTCTGAGGTTTGTCCATCCGGATGAGGGACACCTCCACGTGGGGCCACACCAGAAGAGACCTGGAAGATGGGCCAGTCTGATCACCAATGTAAACTTCTAAATGCCTTTGTAGAGTTCTATGCATCTCTTTGCTCTACCTCTAGGGTTGAATAAGCTTCTTCCCTCCTCTGGGTCCTTACTAGCACTTGGTGCAGTCCTGAGCATTATAGGACCTCGAGTCCCACACAGTGCCAACTGAAAGCACATGTACATTATTGTGGGAGATAACTTGAATGTCTTCTGTGCGAGTGAGATTCAAACCCTTAGGACACAGCCTATGGCGTTTAGCATGATTTACTACTGCGGAGAAAAGGCTGGATATCATAGGGCTATTTTCCCAACACTAAAACCAGCTCTGCGGTGGTAGTGCCCTGGTAGTCTTTAAGTAGTTGTCATAGCCATTTAATAAATGAGGCTCAAATTGCCAGGCATGGACTAAAGTATTGGGCTTTCGCTTTATCTGTTCTAGCTCAGCTTCCCAGCATGCCTCAGTTTTTAGCCTGGGATGAATTTATAACCAGGGGAGATTTGTTTCAGCTCCAATGTAGACAGACTGACTGGCATCCAACCCTAGTTCCAGAATGCATGCTGCCTGTAATGTGCCATTCAAAGCTCACCATGGGGAGCACCATCTTTGAATCCCTGCTTTCTCACCTGTGCTACTCTACTGATATTGACTACAGAGCAAGCTCCTGCCGACACTTATTAGTGGCTTCCTCTACCCTTGGTGCTGGCCATTCTAGGAGTCTTTACTTTTGTGTGGTATTTGTTTGAAGTTGTTCATGTCCACTGGTTTTGAAGGCCGTTTCTCCTTGTTTAATGACAAGACTGTGTTAACCCTGGAGCTCAGAGTAATAATATCCACTGTTTATAGAAGGACTGATAAAACCCAAGTTTTGATGGAAGCCAACTATCAAGGCAAAAATTAGTGTCTAGCAATTGCACCACAGACTGTCCTGTGATAGCCCTTGAGGGTCTGGTCCTATTGTGAGGGCAAAGATGCCACAGGGTCAAGAGTTAAGAAGAGATTGAGACTGTGGTATGGGCTTGGTGCACCTTCAGGACCATGGTCCGTGAGACTGTTAGAGTAAGAAAGACACCAGCAGAAAATGTCCTGGAAAAGGAATAAGAAGCCCCTCGGCAGAAGAATGCTGAGCCTTATAGGGCTCCACAAGTGGTACCGAGTATAACCTAGGAGTTCAGAGAACAGAGCATGTGTGCAAGTCCCTGAGTCAGGACAGGTTGCTGCTCCCCATTTCCCAGCCCCTCCCAGTCCATCCTATCCCATCGCATGCCAATCCATCTCAACACAGCCCATCGCGTCCCATGCTGACCTGATCATATGACTGTCAGTTCTCATGCGTGACTAGAGGACTGCAAACCTCATATTCAGGAACATGGCTCCTTGTGTTCTTGAGGATAGTTCCTTGTCCCTGCTTCCTCTCTACTGTGCACTGAGAATCGGGCAGTCAAGGTTCTCTGTGTGAAGGTCTTACCTGTGCGGAGGAGGCACAGGTCACCCTAAGACTAACATTCAGAGTAGAACATAGTACACGCTGTCCTGGGTCTTCTTAATGTTCTTGGGTTACCACAGTGTCCTGCCTGAATGTAAGGAATGTAATAAGAAAGGGTGTTATGCTAGAAAGCCTTTGCAAGTCATACCTCTATGTCTAGCTCCACCCCCAGATGGATGTTCTCATGACATATCACCAGGATTGACACCCTATGGGCATCCTACATGCCTTACACCTGCCCTGTGTTGCGTGTGTGGCTGAATTCACATTTAGAGAGAATGACCTAGCCTGAACATTCCTCAAGAATCTCAGGTAGAGATCATCGTGGTGAAGGTAAGTGTGAGTATGCGTGAAGAGAGAGGCTGAGAAATGAGAGTGACTTCTAGAAGAACCGAAGGAACTAGCCGAGGCTTATGCTCACCTCCCAGACAAGACTTGGAACTCGAGCATGTCCCAGGGCTTGGTATGACACGGTAAAAGAGTTCAGCCAGTCACAGAAGACGTGAAGGGAGCCTGGGGGGAGCTGAGACACTGATGCACTCGTGTCTCTGTCCTCGGGGGCACGGTGGCTGTCTAGTCTATTACATAAGGATGATCCATCCTGGAGCTTTCCTTATTTTGCAGTGCCCTCACTTGAAAGAGTCAGGTACAGCCAGGGGATGGATATCCTTGTCCCAGCCTATAGCCATGATGAGCTGCCTCCTGATAACGCCATCAGCTTGCCTGCCATGCTAGAGAGGCCTCCTGCAATAAACGCTCCAAATCTGAGAAATCCTGTGTATGGGACTGACCAATGTTCAGATGGAAACTGTAAATTAAAAAAGTGTGTCGTTTTAAATCCACTCAGTTTTGCAGTGATTTCTTACACAGCAATGGGAGATCACAGCATGTTCGTGTTCGCAGGATGGAAGAAAATTTGGGACTTGTGCATTTTATGTGTTTCTCAGGTGATGAAATGGGTGAAGTGGGCTTCACCTTTTCACTGTATTAAGAATAACACAGAGCACCTTATAAGTGTCATGAAGTCCTGAAGTCTTTGGAATGTTTTGATAAGCAGATGCTCACTTTTTCCCCCTAAGTTTCTGCAGTACAGATGCAGCATTGGTATGTGACCCAAATGTGGTCTAAGTCCCTGTTCTCGGGGAGATTTAGTGTGAGGCTTTTAGCCTGAGCGATTACTGGAGTAAAAAGGAAACAAAGTATTTTCTCTACGATGATAAGCTGCTCAGGCTACGTCAATCAGCCCTTCATTCACTGCGCCATCACCTGAGAACCATTAGAAAAGGACAGAGAAGGAGAGAAGGCAACAGTTTCATTCCTTGAACCAAATTGCTTCTCTAGTCGGGATTCCCCCTTAGAGTTCCCAAGCATCAGAGTGAAAATGTTGATGGAACCCGAGGTGGGTCCTGATGTCTAATCCGAGTCTTCAGTGAAAACACGTGGGAAACATCAAAGTCCTAACACGGAATACATGACACGAAGCAGCAGCTGTAGCTATTCTGGGCTCAGCCTGGGTATCAGAATTCCCAGGTGATCCTAAAACGGTTTTATTGAGGCTAATTCATAAGAAATAGGGTCAGCAAGTCAGAGGGCTGGAAGGCAGTGGCTTAGGTGACAAGCCAAGAGCCACTTGGGATAAAGCTGGGTAATGGCAAAAGTTAGCACCTTGTTATGAGAAAGAGAAGAAAGAGAAGGTCATTTAGGGGGTCAAAGTACTTGAGAAGTTGGAAAGGTGAACATCTGGGTCACATTAGGCTGCAGAACTTTTTCCTAAAACCTGTAAGCTTCTGAAATGGGTTGTGGGGCTATTTAGTGGCAAAGGAAAAATGACAAAAGCCCAGAAAAGCCAGTGTTGTTTTCATCCCTTCTACACTGCTTCTAGTTGTAGAAAGAGTTCAGAAAACCAAACTCATAAATGGAAGTGAAATCTGCCATGTGATGTGTGGCTCGAGCTTGTTTTGGCTCTGCCCATTGATGCCAAGAGATCGCAACAGCCTCCATGATCTTCAGTGGATGAATGGATGGACAGAATGTGGCATATGCAAACACACATATGTGTGTAGACACAGTGGAATACTGTTCATCCATGAGAAGATGGAATCCTGTAATTTGCAGGAACTTAGGTGAACCTGGAAGACAAATGGAAGTGAAATCTGCCATGTGATGTGTGGCTCGAGCTTGTTTTGGCTCCGCCCATTGATGCCAAGAGATCTCAACAGCCTCCATGACCTTCAGTGGATGAATGGATGGACAGACTGTGGCATATGCAAACACACATATGTGTGTAGACACAGTAGAATACTGTTCATCCATGAGAAGACGGAATCCCGTAATTTGCAGGAACTTAGGTGAACCTGGAAGATGTTGTATTAAGTGTAACAGCCAGGTGCAGAAGACAAGGACCGTGTGTTCTCACTCATGTATAGAAGCTAAAAATCAATGTCATG